TTCATCTCTAATAATTCATGTTCTGATCAGCCCTTCTATCAGAAATCTTTCAGAATAATGTTGCTAATAGTGAGAGTGTTTCTGAGTAAGAATAATTGTTCCATTAATTTTTTTCTTAATATTCTGTTTTTTCTTTTATACGTATATATATTCTTCCACGTATAATATATAGATTTCCGTTCATTAAAAATACTTTACCATTGGAAATTGTAAGATTTATGTACAAAATATTTTCAGACACCAAGATCTGCTCTGACCAAATAAGGCCTTCTTCATTTATTAATTTCTTTTCTCCTCATATAGATCGATTTTCACTTAATATTGTTTATTTTATTATAGTTTTACATTTTTTCACTAACATACCGTTCTCATAATAGCTTCATATATATTTAATAGCTTCATATGCTGACTTTAATACTTTCCGGACAAATACAAACTTTTTGAAGATCAGAATCAGATTTAGCAACCCAAAAACTACAAAAAAAAAACATACCGTTTTTACTTGCCAGTCCGGGGTTAAAATTGACCCATTTTACTTATTGTCCTTTTCTTTTTTCCGAGAGGAAGACACCAATTCCATCTCTTACGTATTGAGTCGAGTTACGAACGCGAGCGTAAGAAACACTTTGTTTATGACTCTCAAAGTCGCGCGAGATAGGTTCGCACAGTACTTCAGAGTATAGCGTACGACGTGAACTCGTCCGAAACGTCGGTCGTAGTAAGTTGACTTGACGCAGGCTAACCGCGTCGTGGCAGTCACGGCGTTCTGCAAGCTGGAGTGACAAAGTGACACAAATTCGTACCGTCGTATTGCCACAGAAACGCTGCGCCGTCAGACACAATAGCGTGTTTTGGGAGCCGAGGTTACAACGCGATGGATATGTACGTTAATAATTGAAAGCTTCCCCCGTGAAAACCCAGACAAGCTCAGAAATTCCCTTTTTGCAAAATTGCGCCGGAGAGAAATGTCATCCGTGCGTACGGTGCTTCGCGCAAAGCGAAACAATTACGTTCGACGAGATCGGACAGAGAGGAGAATAACAACGATCTCTTGGTGGCAAAATAAAATAGAAGTGGAATTACGCCGAGCTAAATTCCAAACTAAAGTCGAATAAATCAAAGCGAATAGCCATTTATTTTGGAAAATTTACGCGTAAATATCCGAGGGATCTCTTTGAGATGGCGGAAAAAAGTTTTTTTACGAATTTAATCCTTTATTATATCAACGAAACGAGAGGTAAATCTATAATTTTATTTCCGTTGATTATTGTTTAAATATTATTTGCCGTTTTATTCCCTCCTGAATGTCACGAGATTTATATATCCTTAATTTATCTATTTTTTTCTTTGTTTTCTTTATTTTTCGCTCCTCCTATACTTTGCTTACTCGTGTCATGCAAATCGTCAGGGTTTCCATGAATTTGACTCGCACGTGATGTAAGTGACGTTTAACGGTAAGATGTAAGATAAGCCCGTGGAAGGGCAGTCTCGGTTTTCAAGCATGACTGGCTGATTTCTGACGCAAGTCTGCCATACCCGTTCCGGAAGCTGCATCTGCGGTGCGACGGCCCGTGTTGATGCTGCTGATGATGCTGAGGCGTCGATCTCGACGGGGTCTGGCTTCCGGGGTTGGCGATTCCCTCGAGACCTCTCGACAGCTTCAGCATCTCCGCGCCGAAGGCGTGAAGGGCGGACATAGCCGAGGGTGGCGGCTCGCTTTCCGGGAGCCAGAGCTCGTGAGTGTCGAGGGTAGTCAGCTCAGTGTCGGTTGACGTGCCGGAAGTGTGTTGCGGGGTGCCGCCGCTCCCGCCGGAGCTTTTGTTGAGGAGGAACCGCTTCCAGGTGCCTCGCCTTTCGAGACCTGCGAATTATCGAAGAGCACCGAGCCTTTTAACGTTCTATCGAATTTAAGCAACTTGTCAGTTTGAAAGATTCCCTCATTTCTTCTGTTTCTTTTTTAATTGGGGGAGGAGGAATTTCTGTTTTTTCAACTGAATATTTTTTTAGCGTGAGATTTTCAGCGGTTTTGATAGCCGGGCAATATTGGAGAACAGGGTTTCAGCGAGCTTTTATTGGAAGGCGGTTTGGGCGATTTTTACTAAATGGGGGACGCGCGGGGACTTGACAATTTCTTGGAGCATGAAGGGATTGGGAGAAATTTTCTCGGAAGATGTGAATTGTGTGTAGGCGATAATTTCCGAGTTTTCTTCTTTATAGTAAAGCGAACCGCTTTTGCGGTTTCGATCAGGGGATGGCCGTATGTCCTTACAACCTACTCGCGTATTTCTCTGCTTCGTGCGACTCTCCGTTCGGCTGTATATAATTCCCCGTGCATCGCCTGCCATCGAGAATACGAGGTTGGCGACAGTCACATGATTAATGGCGGCAACGCGGTTCGTTTTTGCGAAAGGATCGATCCCGGGATCGACGATGGGACTGGACGGCGGACTTCTGTCTAGCGTTCTCGCGACAAGAAATTTCGTCAGCACGAACCACCGTCCACGGCTAGATATGCAAATGCCGGCCATTATGCAAAGATCCCGGATGCGACACAATATGCTAAGGAGGCCGCTTCCGGCTACTCGCCGAAATGAAATTAATCGATACCTCTCGTGGCGCGAGCTCCATTCACAGGCACTTAGTATTCTTCGGGATTCGGAGATTGCAGCACGCGACGCGTCCTGAAATCCTTTGAGTGCCTCGTTGCGAGGAGGACTTACGTTTTATAACGGACGCGCTGAAGATATATCGAGGCTTTAGAAGACAGGAGGGTGTGGGTCGGAAACAGAGCTCTATTAGTTTTTAGACGTTATATTAAAGATTCACCGATAAACTACATGATGAATGATACACGGGAAATGGCTTTTAGGGAAATTCCCCCATCTGCAATTCTTATCAAAGAGATCACGGTCAATTGATATTTACATTTGATCTTATTAACTTACTACTCTTCTTATTCGACAGTTTCTCCGAATAATTCATCGTTAACTGCGAAGCTTATTGAAGCTGGAGTCGATTTTAAAATATGTAAACGTATCTTACAGGAAAGCGTCTTTCGTCTAAACTCCAGTCAATATTTATTCTTGGCGTCTTGAATTCTGTATTATCTGCGAGGTGTCTCGAGCGTGATTCGCTTCTTGCTTAAATCGCCCAGGAAACACGATGAAAATGCGTTTTAAAATGCAATAATTGCGCAACGCGGTGTACAGAATAGCAGAGTGCATTCCGGTGTGAAGTTGGTATGCAAATTGCGTTTGGCGCGGTAATCGGAGAGTTGCCGGGCAAAATCAAAGCGACAATAGACGATGGCTTCCGGCGAAACATTCCGTCCCGGAAGAGAGAGTCTCTCTCCCTCTCTCTCTCTCTCTCTCTTTCTCTCGCTCGTTCTTGAGGGTGCTTTGTTCCAGAACGACGAATTTGCGCAGCCTGGGAAACCGTTTATGAGACGCCTATGAGATGCGTTTTTCTTTGAAGTTTCGCCGCCGGAAACCGGCCGATAAATCGGAATAAATAATTTTTATCGGACGGAGAAACTAAATCACAGCCGTTTCTGTATTTCGCGGGTCGTTTTCGAGTAACAGTGCCCTCGGGGAAAAAAGCAGGAAATATTGTCGCGCGGGAAAATCGCTCGGTAGTGAGCGAAAAAAGGTTGAAAATTGGAAGGAAGAATATTTAGCGATGCAGTTATATTCTCTATTTTTTTTTATTTCTACTTGAAAATGGAATCTCGTGAAAGGAGGAACATTGGTGAAAGTACGATCTGAACACAGTAGCGGTATGTGTTTTTATTTCTTTTTTATCATCATCGGAGGGACAGGAAGAAAACAGGAAATTTGACAGAAGTGGTCCCTGATGGAATGGTAGCGAAATTCTCAAAATTCAAGATAAAAGATAAAAGGAAATTTATGAAGGATCGGGAACACTGAGACACTCGAATGTTGTAGGCCATAAATTATCCTTGAATTAGCAATTGATCATAATTAAACATTTGTATTTAGTCTATATTGTAAATTTATATTAAAAAAAAAAAATAAAAATAACCGACTGGCGGAAGCTTAAACAACACGCGAGAATTATTTAACTTGTTTACAAAATTAAATATACAAATTTATTATGATTGACGTTTTAAAAAAAGAAAGGTCAAGGCGGGTCTGATAAAAAGGCAGGGTTAAATATTGATGCATTCGAGCATCTCGTGTATGTCTCGTATACGGGAGTGGTCGAGCGAACCCGGAATTTCGGTCCCGTGGGAATGAAAACAGGCTAGTGTACGTGACAATACACTAACCTGCCGTGGAGGATGCACCCTGAGGAGCACCCAACCATCCTGATGACCAACCTGCTGCTGTCCCGCCGATGTTCTGCTGCTGCTCCGCCAGCAGTCTCACTGTTAACGTGTACGTTAGCAACATAACCCCCAGGGGGATGTAGAAACATATTATGCTGCCAATTAACTTGTAAAGGGGGTCCGGAATCTGACATTCCCCGTCCACCAACACCGAATCATCTTCCTGAAACAAGACGAGGATAGTAATCACTGTTCAACCTGTATTATAATATAATTATATTATCGTATATAATTTGAAAGATATAAAAAAGAAGGGAGAGTAGGTAGATACTTTTGTCTGCGACGTATTAATTAAAATTAACGTTAACACGGTGGTTACTCGTAAAATTTTCATTTTGGTAGACAGGAATATAAAATAATTATAACCGCGTAACCGCAGAATAAGAAAGAAATAATTTCACTAGTAGGACGAAAAATTAGTAAAAAAAGAAAACATCGGATGCTCGTCCCGCTGAATTACGATGAAATGTTGATAATGATGAAATTTTATCTTCCGCGCATCCAAGCACTTATTTGTGGCGTGAGCTTTTGTTATACAATCGTACGATCGTAATTCGATTGTTATGAGCGATTGCACGATCGCGCAAATGGGAATCGGGAGACAGGATTCGAGAGCCAGGAATCAGAGACACGATTTTCTTGTACATTTCAGGACTCCGGAACAATGTCCCAGTGTTGTCTCGCTTTTGGCGGAGAGTTACAATCCTCACGTGAGATACGGCGCGGCGATGGCTCTGGGTATCGCCTGCGCTGGCACAGGCTTGAAGGAAGCTATCGCGTTGCTGGACCCAATGACGAACGACCCCGTGAACTTCGTCAGGCAAGGCGCGCTGATCGCCTCCGCAATGATCCTGATCCAGCAGACGGAATCTACATGTGCCCGCGTCAAAGATTTCCGAGCTCTATACGCCAAGGTAGTAGTGGACAAACACGAGGACGTTATGGCGAAGTTCGGTGCGATTCTGGCGCAAGGAATCATCGACGCCGGTGAGTCCTCGCCGAATTCCTCGCGCGTCACCGGATCTAGCCGGTGCGGAGGAGTTCGGATCCTCGCTGATCCACCACAGAATCCTTGTGACTTCCGAAACCACGTCTTTCAATTCGCATAATCTTTTCTCGTATCAAACTCTTCGGAATCCTGAAAGTTTCCCTAATCTGCGCCAACAAGCATCCTTCGTCTTGATCGGCACAGCTTCTTAGAGTCCCGATTATCCTTTCTCCCTCTCTCTCTCTTTCTCTCTCTCTATTTTTCTTGAGACGGTTGCGAGAGCACAGCCGCGAAATAAAAACACGAGGACTTGCGCCTTCCTCAGGTGGCCGCAACGTGACCGTGTCGTTGCAATCGAGAACGGGTCACACGAATATGCTGGCGGTGGTCGGAGCCTTGGTGTTCACCCAATACTGGTACTGGTTCCCGTTGGCGCACTGCCTGGCCCTGGCCTTTACACCCACGTGTCTGATCGCGCTCAACGCCCAACTGAAGATGCCCAAGCTGGAGATCAGATCGAACGCCAGACCGAGTGTTTACGCTTATCCCGCGCCCCTCGAGGAAAAGAAGCGAGAGGAAAGGGAGAAGGTCACCACCGCCGTGCTCAGCATCGCAGCGCGTGCCAGGAGACGGGAGTCCGAGAGGAGGGCCAGGGATTCGCACGAGAAGATGGACGTGGTTAGTTGAAGGGAAACATTGTTTACTCGCCTGTCCTTTTCCTGGCGAACACGCTCGGCGAGGAGTTCCGATAAGGAGTGTCCCAGGGATTTAGTCCCAGGGATTTAGTTTTGATATCGAGGCTTCCGTATAACGCTCGAATCCGGGGAATCCGTCCTTCAATTGCGGGGTCGCCGGGAATCTCGGTCGTCTGAATTTTCTCATACGGCGTCTTCTCTCGCGAAAGTGATTCAAGATTTTGTTTAATTTTTACAGTCACTTCATATGGGAAAAAAATTGCAAGAATGCGAAGGGATTATTGGTATACTATTTAAGAACAATGGTTCTTCTGTATATCGTGGAACTATTGTTCTTTAATAGTATACTAGTGATTTTTTCGTATTCCTGTAGTTTTTTTCCCATAAGGAACGGCTTGTCGATACTCCTCGAACTTCCGGATCTCGAAACTTTCGGACCCGTTAGCTGAAGGATTGTGGAATTTTTAGATGAATTTTATCATTATAATTACTTCGAGTATCCTATCGAGTTCTTGCGCGCGATATATTTTGAATTTATTGATTTCGAAATTTTTCGTACTTCAAATTGTTGACCGACCTTGCGACTGTACGAATTTCGGGGGTCTCTATATTCTAAATTTCCACGAATGTTTAAATATATCAAGCGTCAAGTTAGAAGAGTTATTATTATACATCTTCAATATATTAATATTATTTAAAATATTATTATTTAAGTAGCACTGGAACATTCGTGCCTATTCCTTATGGTTTATAATTTTTTGATGTTTTAAAATATAGGAGCTTCATACATGGAATTTAGTCATATATCTTGAAGAACAGAATTTCTCACACCTGTTTTGTCAAAGAACCAAATCTATTTTCTCTAAAATGCTGGAGATCCATTAGGAATATCTTACCTCGGAACTTTATAATGCACGGAATATTAAAGGCACGGAAAAAGACACGCTAAGAGATTTTAATTACGTCGCCTGTCGCGATGAAAAGTGCGAAGGGTTGTTTCATAGGAAGAGAAAATAATGAAAAATTGCAGGATCCACCCTCGGAGACGAAGGAACTGCCGGAAGTGAAGGAAGCATCGTCTTCCAAGGAGAAAGATGAAAAGAAGAAGGATAAGGACGAGGAGAAGGAGAAGGAGAAGGAAAAGGAGAAGAAGGAGACTAAGGAGACCAAGGAGCCTAAAGAGAAGACCGAGAAGAAGGGCAAGGATGAGGAGAAGGAGAAGAAGGAGCCGGAACCGAACTTCGAGATTGTTCAAAATCCCGCTCGAGTTTTGCGTCAGCAATTGAAGGTTATTCAGTTGGTCGAAGGTAGTCATTACGTTCCCGTCAAGGATATTCAAATTGGTGGCATCGTCATGGTCAAACACATCCAGACCGATACTGAGGAGGAACTCGTCGAGCCTGTCGCCGGTGAGTAATCGATCTTGAATTCATTCGTTTCAGTAACGAGATCGAGACATCTTCTTAAATTTGGAAATTCAGCGAATGTAATATCTTTTTCGAAAAGAGAATTATTCGTGAATATTAGCGTAGGCAAAATTTACGTCAAATTGAGTATAGTTATTAAATTTTCGTTTTCATATCAGTTCAAAAACCATTAAAAATAAAAGTGATTGCGGTATACTAAAGTAATTCGAAGATTTGTCACGCGTTGCAACTTTTGACGGGTCAATTAATCCCGAATGCACGAGCTCGTAATTGAGTGGGTGGCAGTTCGATTCATTTTTTGCCCGACCACTGAGCAAGCGAGTGAAGGCGTGTGCTGTGAAAGCTTCCGGTTTGTTTCAGCCTTCGGGCCGAAGCCCGACGAGGAGAAGGAAGCCGAGCCGCCCGAACCCTTCGAATACACCGAGGATTAAGGGGCGAAAACACGCGTCGCCTCGTTCCGTCATCCTGACACGCCCGTCATTCGTCATCGCAATGGAATCGCGATACATTCGTCCTCACTTTCCGTTAATATCACACGTCTGTTTTTTATATTCATCGCGATTTCCGTCTACGTGTCTAATTAGCGAAGTACTGCGAAGTCTAATAAATTTATTGCGTCGAAGACACCGGTGTTATCAATCATTCACCTTGCCGCCCGTTAATGAGATCTCCCAGCCGAGAAAATGAATTAACGAATAGCTTGCGAATTTAATTATTTACAGAATTATGAATGGAGATTTTACGAGATAATGCACGCAGCGCGATTACACTTCTTTTTACATCCCTCAGGGAACAACTTTATGGGGCAACTACGCTACGGGAAGTGGAGTGTACAAAGGGAGAATTCAGGATATTGTTGCGAAATTATTCTTCACAAAATGCGCGACGGTTTATAAGTAAACCAACTGTCGGAGTTCTCACGACTCCCGTTCTCTTATAAATTATTTACGAATGTTAATTAATGTCGTAGACGAAGAGGTGCGGAAAATTGTCAGAGATAAAGAGAGAGTGAAAACACGGGCAAAGAGGGAACAATCGTAGTTACTCTTGCAGTTTTATTTGACCACTTTTATTTCTACATTCCCCGCGAGAGACCACCGAGGGGAATTTCCATGAAGCAACAATTCTCCATAATTCATTGTATTCATCACTAAAGTTTGATGCGGAGCTCGTGGGTGGTCCATTACCCACCACCCATCCATCCCCCTTTCGCCGGGTAGACATGAATCTTGCCTGAAGTACACTTTCGTCCTCAGTCACCGTCGCCATTAATGGTCAGCTCGTATTCCGGTTCCGTAGCGACGATGATCGAGCGAAGGCCGTAACGCTCGCTGATGAGTGCAGGGAGATGCAACCCTCTGCTGCAAGATTGCGCGCACGTGTATGTCCGCGCGTGTGTGTCGGCACGTACCGGCACGTGTTCGCCGAACGTCGAAGCGTCGAGCGTTCCGCTCGACGTCAGTCGATAATACTCGACGCGACAGTCGAAGTCAGCCCGAGACGAGGTGTCATTACGTTCTTTAATTTTTCACGTCGGGATTTATAGGACGGGAAAGGAGAGCGAACGGGCGCACGACGACGGCGCAAGCCGGGATATCCGAGAGAACCCCAGGATCCGGTTAGTTGAGACCTCGAAAGTGGATGGGTGGATACTTAAAAGTGTATATCGACGCGCCGGGAATTCAAAACAGCCAAGTATTTTCGGATCTCCTTCTACAAGATCTCCCGAAGAATTTCGGACTCGAGTATAGACGGGAGTCTCGCGAATACTCGCATTCTTGGCGAGTCCTGATTACGGAAACGAAAAAGCCAAGCTCGATGCTCGCGGGGTAACTCACTTGAACGAGATAATATTGAAACAGACGAGAATGCGAAATATTTCTGTATAACCGGGATCGGAATATTTTTGTCCTCCATCGCCTTCTCTCTCTCTCTCTCTCCCTCCCTTTGTTATCTTTCTCTCTCGACACCGCTACCACGTCGGGCGTATTTTAGTCTGCGCGTCGGATGGAATTTTGAATGAGCACGGTTACCGCGAAATTCAGATCGATACCCCGTAAGAAAACGCGCCTGGTAAATGGTGCTGCCGCGAAGTTGCTGAAACTTGTTCGACAAACTCGTCGATGGGTTGCGGCGTGTTCGTCTCGCCAAGAAACGAAAGTAGCTCGGCATTTGCGAGAGAGCAGAGAAAGAGAGAACTGCTTGCCAGCAGCTTCTGAACGACGATGAACACACCCTCCCGGGTAAAGAAAATAACCTGTTAGACGTGTACACGCGCTCCCGTAAGCATCCCGAGGAAGCCGTAACGTCGACCGGTGTGCTGGCCGGGTTACTTCCCAGACCGAATTTACAGTCGTGTTTTTGTTCGCGAAAATTGAAGGCGACCGTTTAATTACCTAGTCGTTGCCTCCCGGGCGCGTCGTTTCGCCTCTTCTTTCTCGCGGCGCGACGGATTTTTCTCCGCGTATTTTACAACAACAGTATGATACGATAATGAGCTTGTCTGTAATAATTAATGTTATTAAGAGGTCAAAAATAACGAAACGCCTTAAGTGATTGCTTCCCGTTAAAATTTGCCACACGTATCGTTGTCGTTTTCATATCGTACGTTCGTTTAAATCTTAAGGAGTTTAGAGAGAAAAGAAAGAGAAAGAAGGGATGAAAACAACGGACGCATTAATTATAAAGTTATAAAATACAGTTATAAAATAAAGTATTGCAACTTTTAATTAAAAAAATAATATAATTAAACAAGCTAATGGCATAAGAAGCACGCGTGCTTGTACGTTCCATTGTTCATAATATTATCAATTATAATTTCACATCTATTATATTATAAGTAAGAGAGGAAAAAGAGAGGGAGAGAGAGAGAGAGAGAGAGAGAGAGAGAGAGAGAGCTTTATTATTTTACAATCTGAAAATCAATTGAACCGTAAGATAATCGCGTTAAATGCGCGGAATATCATACAAGGATAATACGCGGAGCTATTTGAAATGCAAGTTGCGCTTGTCCGCTGCATTTCGCGGCGCAGTCTCGACGGCGAGGTTTTCCACGACAATATATTTAATACGCGATTTTTGAGGGCAATTGCGGCGTAAATGCAGCAGCGAGCGGCCGCGGCAGAAATGTTGTTGTGCAAGCGAGCGAGCGGCTGAAGGGTTAGTTAGAAATTTACGAGCGGCGGCGCTCCGAAACAGCAGACGCTGTTTTATAATGTAGCGTCGCTTCATTTCGCGCATTAATTTCGCCCGTCGGGAAAATATCGCCGGTTTCGTGCCGTTGCTCGACTCGGCCGGGCGGCCGATGAAAAACGGCGGATGCACTGCCTCGTATAAATCCATCTGCTCTTATCCCGCGCGTCGAATGATCGATGAGCAACGCTTCCCGCGGACGGCGATAAACTTTTGCGGCGGCACCGGGACCAACATCAATAGCATTGATGGCTTCACGTGTGAAATTGATACTTGCGCATCGATCTTTCGTAAAGTAATTTTTACAAGCGCCCCGAAAGGGGCAGCGCGCTTTACGCGCGTTGTCGGAAGTTGTGTGTGTGTGCGGTGTGTGTGGAAGAAGTTCAGCGCTACTATTCAGTTATTTAAGCCATCTTTTGTCACCTTTCCTTGATAACTCCCTAAAAAATTCATTATTGTCCAAAATAGGTCACCACAGTAATCACTACACTTCCTTTCTTTCCTGTAAAATATATGTCTTATATACAGGGTGACCCAACATAAGGAGATCTAAATATCTCCTTTGTTTTTAATGATTTATGAAATATTTCGAGCACAATTTGAATGGTTTCGAAAGAGGAATATTTTTGTGGAAGGAAATTTCTTTCGGTCATTTAAAAAATTTTTTTAAGGCACCCATATTTAGACCCCCAAGATGTTTTCCTTGTGCTAGGACAGCTTGTATAGAAGAAAAGGTGATATTGTGGCCTTTGTAGATATTATGGCCCTCCTTAATATCTCCACTATCAGTGGACGAATTCGCGATTACTTATGCAATCGTTTGTTTAGTAGCCCGTCGTTACGCAGTGGCGCTAATATGCCCATACACAAAAGCCGTCATTTATTATAACACATTTTTACTTTCGAGCATTTCAAAACATTATCAAGATACATTTTAACATTTAATGATATATGCTTCCACATTCTTTTTAAGCGTTATATCATATACGAATATATATACATTTGAATGTTTGTTCGTTGTTTAACGTTTTATTTCGTTATATACATTTCGAGTTATGCCAAATTAAACAATAGCATGGCAGTTTGCTAATTTGGCGCCTCACTAGAATAGATTTCATACAGGTTCTTTTTCAAGGTTTTCATGTCGAAGTAATTATTTGATGAGTCAATAATTCAAGTTAAGTTTAAAAATCTATTCGTTTTGTAGAAATTATCTTTTTCACAGTTTGTATTTATCTTCTGACAAATAAGTCGGTATTTACATTAAAAATTCATGGTTATATTCATTGTTGTTCTTTCTAAGAATTTATTTTGAATAAATATATAAAATATTCAAATATATTTAAATCTATTTTAGTGGGAGGGAGGCACATTACCACCCTTGTTTCTCTCCGCTCCATTACGTAGTGTCGCCACATTTTTATAAATAACGTCCTAAGTAATAAATATTACATAACTTCTAAAATCGATTGAACAACACTTTGACGAAAATGCAATCGTCAAGTTTTCAATTTATAATATTGATTATTAATAAAATTATTGTATAAAATATAAATGGAGAATCATAATACCACTTTTTGCTGTATTTTTGCCGTCTCTCTTAATAAAACTGCTCTGAAAGCGTACTTGTTTTGTATCATTCATACTCTTGATTTTGTTATTAACATTTAAACCGTACTATGAAAAGAACATGCTATATGTTAAGTTATTAAAAAATAAACCCAAAAAGATAAGGGCTTTTTTGCTTAAATAATCTTAATTATTCTCAAAATTTGATTAAAAATGTCACTTTTGTCACTATTTTAATATCTGAGAGGTCACTTTTTGTCACCTTTTCTGAGAGCAGTCACTATTTCACTTTTTTAGTTCTGTTCTGGCTGCGCTGGAAATGTTTCATATAATACAATAAGAATGATCCTGAAAGCCAAGTTTTGCGGCACGTTCGCGCGTTGTAGAAATGGTCCCCAATATAAATTCCACACAGGAAAAGAGAGAGAGAGAGAGAGCGTGTCGTACGCGACACGGAAAGAGGAAAGGGATATTAATGCGCGAAATTCAACATTCGCGGCACGGAGCTGAAAGCGTACCATCGCCGCCGCCTTTCGATCCTTGCCATCGGAAAAAACCTCCCACATCCGATCGAAAGCAGATTACGAAAATAGATTCCTGTTTTTCGACCGAGCGCGGTGATAAGCGCAGGATAAAAAATTGTGTCACGCGGTCACCAAGACGAGCGTACGCCCGGCTCACAGCTGCAGACGCGGCTCTTACACTTCAACTCCTCGTATTTAACGAGCAGCCGCTTTGAATCGAGGGGGTGGTGAGTCGCGAGAGTGATTCTCACCGTTGAATTGTTCAACAGCTGAAACGTCGCGATACGATTTCATGGATGCGATTTCGAGACACCCTGTGCATAATGGATAGACCGGCTTACCTTGGAGTACATTAAGCTCAGGGGTAAACTCATGGCGATGCTGAGGAGCCACACGATGATAATCTTCAAGATTACTCTTCGTCTGGTCTTGTTGCGCCCGAACTTCATTGGATAGCGCAGACTCAGGTAGCGGTCCACGCTTATAGTGCACAAGTGCATTATGCTCGCGGTACAAAACAGGACGTCGAGGCAAATCCAGGCCAGGCAATAAACCGACGACAGCGGAAAATATCCTGCAAACAAAGTAAATCATCCCCTCGTATACTCGGAACGCGGGCTAATTAAGCCTTAACTCAATTAGCGGCGTCTTGACTCGTCCGGATATATTACAATTTCACGCGACACTTCGTCCTTGTCGCGGTTTTTATTCGTACGCATAAAAATGCCGGTGCTCCCTACATATTTTTAATATTACGACGCAACGTGTATTCATACAGAGGTTACTCTTAGCGCTGTTTAATACAATAATCAAAATTAATAATTTCTCTTTCCCTTCCTCTCCTTTTCTCGCCCGTTCCGTACGGAAAAACATATCTATGGAAATGTACTCTTTTAAATATATCGCGGAGATCAATTTTTATTTATCGTAAAAACAATCCCGTATTTTTGATATCATAAATATTGGATTTTGCGAGATGTTATGAATATTAGACATGTGAAAATTCATTTATCGTTGATTGAAACCGTTATCGGCGTGTCTCGACATGCGTAGCTTAATATCGAGGTGATATCGATACTGGCATGCCCGATAACGATAGACAAGCAATTTGCATGCGTAGTTTGTTAAGTAAACTTCGTAAAGGGCGCGGCAATTTTCCTCCAATCTCCGCTAGATTGCATTCGAGGCAATTCGGCGTCATTCGATATTAAATTTTCGACGATACACGTAAATGGTGGAATATTATTGCAAATAGAAACGCCGTTATCCCGCGAGATTGATGCTACAACGATCTTCCTGTTTCTCTACTCCCTTCAACTTTGTTTAATAATTAATTTTCACAGCAGCTTTCCCAACTTCCGCGGGGACTTTCGTCCTTTTTCAATGATTCATTTTTGCAAACTGCCAAAGGCTGTAATTAATACGCCCACTCTACGTTAATAAACGTTTTACGTTTAATGAACGGAGTCTGCAAAAACTTTAGTTTGCCGAGCGCAACTTCCAAAGGTTACTCGCTAATCATTTTACTCGTATAATTAATATGTAATAAATATTCTCACTTCGCAGTTCTCGACGAGCGAAGCTGTACTCTTTATTAACGTGTAAGTAGGGGTTTTACCAAAACTAAGCTCGGCTTAACGGCGGTGATCCGACGGTGATAAGAGCGTTATCTGTGTTTTAAGATACGAATTAAGGAGTTCGCATTTTTATTTCTGAGCGCGAATGTGTGTAAAAAGAGATAGAATCTCATTCCGCGCTCGTGTTTCCCGTTTCAACAAGATTCTCGTCAACCGCAGGCAAAATCGGCCTCTCGGTCTCTATTGTACGCTCTGAAATGCCGATTTATGCCGATGGATATTGCAAACAAATCGCTCGCGGCGCGATGTTTGTACAACGGTGGTGTGAATTATAAGTGGGGCTTTCTTTGGGAATAATTGATCCACTTGCGCGCGAATCGCCGGGGATGGGCGACGACGGTTTTGCAGAGTGGCTAAAATCACGAGGGTACACGCGAATGCATTAATAACCGGTGAAATACTAGATCGTCAGTACACAGAGATAATCCGGTGGCGCATGAATATGCAGTTCAGGGTGCCCGGGCACGGTAATTTCGTTCGACACGCGGAGTTGTGTTAATTCCACGCTCTTTCGTGAATTAACCGCTCGACTGTCGCTCCGTTCCAGGAGATGAGAGAGATAGAGGCAATAGAAAGAGAAACAGAGAGAGAGAGAGAGAGAGAGTCGTCCCCGGAACAGTCGTCCTTGGGGAGGACGATCCCGCGAACGCGACACCACGCGCGAAATTGGCATTACAGCGTGAAATTTAAACTCCTCGACAAAGACAAGAGGACTTTGAGTTGAAGGATTAACCGTTGTTTCGCTGATGGTCCCTCATCCATTGAGTAGCTCTCGCTTGATTAATCGGTGTACATTCAAGAGTTAATCCCGTTACCGTTCGCTGTACACACGCAGAACGTATTAGAGAGACGTTTGATTCTGTTGCGAAGGTATCAAGTTTGAAAAAGCGAAGAGATTATTAATTAATATTATTTGCGGAGAAGATGGAAGTTGAGTTAATATGACGATAGCCAAAATAATATGACGAACAAGCCAAATGCATTTCGAAGGACAGAGTTTCTGAAAAATTTCTGACAGAATTTAAGAATCGAATCTGGTTCATTATCGAGTCGAAATTTTGGTTTGGTAATGAAATTTTGGATTGCAAGTTGAAGACCGATTTCCCGGACGATGAGCCGTCAATGAGAAAAAGAGAGAGTCGTACACGAGTCTCGGACGAAGACAGATGTATGATGAATCCGGGCGCGAAATTAAAAGATTTTACCGATTAACTCAGAAGCGTTGTAAATGGCTTTTATTAAACGCGAAGATTTCTTAAACGCGTGTCTTGATTTTCAAAATGTTACGCTCACGCCCGAGAATAAAAATGAAGACACATGGATATAACCACTATTATTCGAATATTAGATATGTTAACATAAAGGACATCCAATGACTGAAAAATGACCAGCATATATAAATCTTTTAAATGACGTTACATTGACGTTCTTATGTCACGTCTTTACGACGTAATATTTCGGTTCTATGCTTTATTTCATGTCAACATTAAAGTCTAAAGAATAATGTTAGTTCTTAATCATTTTTAGTTGTCTTTTTTCAGCATATAAATTATAACATTTTACTTCAACGGGGTCGACATGTGGGCCTTAAAAGGTTAATTTAACTAATCTTTTATCTCCATGTTAATTTTTCACCCGTCGCTATCGGTTCTCCCTCGAACCCGAATCTTATTCTACATTTCGTACTTATTCCCTGACGAAGAATCATTCTACAAGGAAAGGTTATCTAGCATCTCGACTTACCAAACTGGCGTCGAAATCGTTCCTCCGTCTTTAGTGTGTACTTACTTCCTCCCTTTATTTCCGTGCTTGTCGACTGTGTTTCGTGACGCTATCATATTAAATAACGCGTCGCGATAACGGGCCTGTAAGATCGCGTCGCACCCGATAAGCTGTGATAATTTAATTTCGATGAAAATTTTATCCACGAGAGACGTGGCGCGGATTCGTGAACGCACGCAAATGTGGCGCCACGAAGGCGCGCGCTTCGGCCACCTTCGGCGATCGTCGGTCGGTCCCGCCGTCAGATCGAGCGCCACAGCGATCGCGTCGCAAGCATTCTCCCGTTCCTCCCTTTATTCTTCAGTATTTTGGCCGAATTTTTCGTGAGTATCGCGATCCCAACGTATAAAACAATGCGTACATAGATCTCCGACAATCGTGCATGATATGTCCTAATTCTGCTGCAGATAATCCGTACGAGAAGCGAGAGAGGCAAGCGAATCTGCACGCACCCTCTCTTTCTCTCTCGCTCGGTCACCTTCGTCGATACATTCCTGCTCGTTCTCGTCGTTTCTCCAGCTTTTTGGCTGGATTTTCGCGAGCCCTCGTCATATACTAAATACTGCGTCACAGTAACAGGTACGTGAGATCACATCGCGCCCGATAAGCCCCGGCAATTTCAATTCCGTAATAAATAGCAACACGATCCGTCGATTCAGCGAAGGCACGCGAACGTACGACGCCGCGAAGTCGCTTCGGTTATCTTAATCTTCTCGGCCGCCATGTTGACTTTTCGCGGTTTGCGCGCGTAAACTCCGCTATACGTGGTCCCGTCGCATTACGATCGTGCTGTGATCGTCGTAGCCGCGGATATTATATTTCACCACATATTTTATCGTCGCGAATACGCGTATCTATATCGCGACGCACGCCGTATTCGTTGACCTTAGATCAGTCACGACAAGAGATATTTACTTTCGCTCGAACTTGTTTCCTTTTTTCATCTGATTCCGAGAATCTCTTTTGAAAGGAAGTTTGTGGGATTTATTCACGTTGATACACCAACAGATTGGTTATAACTTTATTTGGAATTACAGATCGCGCGTTCGAGTGAGAATCATGAGTATGTCGAGTGGAATTTGGCGAGAGGAATAAGAACACCAGGAGGAGGAGAAGAGCTAAGAGGAGGAGTGCTTCCTGTAGATGCAGCTACGAATGGTTATAGACATGGAGAGAACTTCAAATCCCGAGTTTGGTTAGTACTAGATGATAGTATTCCTCAAAAATTCGTCTGAAATAAATGGCACAAACGATGATTATTTCAACACGTATGGTCACAAAAAGATTGCAACACATTTTTTTATGCAACGCATCTCGTATCCAGTAGGAAAATGTATCTCCAGATAATTGCTAAAAAACAAATTTTTCTATTGAACACGAGATGCGTTCCGGAATCAATAAAAGAAAGTGTTGCAACATTTTTATGACTGACTATACAGAATAAAAAACATTTTGTACTTGTGTTAAAATCAGTTCTTGTTAAAATTTGTGTGTTAAATTTTTAACATACAATTTAACATATTGTGTTTATATCATCTTAATGTATTTTATGTTGATATTCCCTCTCGATATTCTATATGTGTAAATGTTAAAACATTTTATACTTATCAATTAACATATGGATGTTTAATTTTGTGTTAATTTTTTACATAATATTTATGTTACTTTTTAACATATTCATTTTGGGTTAAATTAACACAAAAATTTATGGATCGTTTGAAATCTGTTAAATTTAACCTAAAATTTTTTCTGCGTATCCGCAACTCGAAAATATGATTCATGATGCGATAACACGTATGAATGCACTTTACAAATTCGTTGAATGAGAAATAAATGGACCCAACAAGTTTTTAGCTTCTTGGCGAGACGACAAATGCGAGAACGTGTTAAATGATCGTCGTCTTTAGAAATTGGAATTCACTGGGACTGGATTACGAGCTTGGAACGCATGAAGTAACCCGTCGGGTTTAGAAATTAGATGTCGCGAAAACGCGGATACACGCGAAAGTTCGAAGTAATCGTTGTGCACGACAATTAGAATTTGTGAAACGGGGAGTGCACACGAAACGGTCGCCGACACGCAAAGTTGGAATTCCTGAAACGCGGGAATACGCGACGGAATGTGCGAAATAACCGGCGCGTTTAAAAATAAGGA